AAAGGCCATTGCGAGGACGTAGTGAGAGGGAAGCCATCTGCAAGCCAGGAAGGGAGCCCTCACCAGAAACCGGTCCCTGCCAGACCCTTGATCTTGGACTTTGCAGCCTCCAAAACTGTGAGGAAATAAAAGTCTGTTGTGTAAGCAACCCAGGCTGTGGTATTTTGTTATGGCAGCCCAAGCAGACCTACTGAATGGGAAACTTTGGAGGTAGAGTTATATCTGTGTTTCCAAAGGCTCTTCAGATGATTCTGATACAGGCTCAATTTTAGAAGTGGTCTACCTTGAGCTGAACCAAAAGACCTTTAACACAATTCAGCAAACATTTACTAGAGTGCCTTGGAGAACAAAGATGAATATTCCCAGGTCAAATTCACAATGGTGGGAGAGAGGTGGATAAATAAATAACAATGATACGGCCGGGTGCAGTGGCTCATGCCTGTAATACTAGCACTCTGGGAGGCCGAGGCAGGAGGATTGCTTGAGCACAAGAGTTCGAGACCAGCCTCAGCAAGAGTGAGACCCCATCTTTACTAAAAATAGAAAAATTAGCCAAGCGTTGTGGTACACACCTATTGTCCCAGCTACTCAGGAGGCTGAGGCAGGAGGATCCCTTGAGCTCAGGAGTTTGAGATTGCAGTGAGCTACAATGAAGTCACTGCACTCTACCCAGGGCAACAGAGTGAGACTGTGTCTCAAATAAGAATTTAATAAATAAATAGTAATGACAGAGTACAAAAGGAGCCATGACAGCTTTTGCACAGAGAGATATGGGAACACAGAAGAGGAGTCTTTGACCCTGCAGGAGGTGACCTATGAGCTGACCCCTAAAGGCTGCTCCACCAGCTGTGAGGAGGAAGAGAAACCCACAAACCAAGGGGTAGAGTCTGCCCAGAAGAAATCTCCCCTCCTTTTACCCTTGGGAGATGCCAATCTCAGAGGCTGTCTTAGCCTGAATACATGGAGCAGAAACTTGAGACAGCATGGGCAGTGAGCCCTGAGGTCCCCCAGGATGCCTCAGTCCCCTCTTTTGACATAATTCTGTCACCCAGGCCTTGGCACTCTGGACCTATGATGGGAGTGGCAGCCTCAACAACCTTGGAAATGCTTTCAGGGTCATTCCTCCACTGTATTGGTGAACAGCATCTGGCTTCCTTCTACCCATACTAACCTCCTCATCAAACAGTAGCTTGACCACCATTGGTTTTCTTTCCTGAATATGCCTCTTCTTTCTTGACAACACAGCCAGGCTGAGAATTTTCCAAATCATTAAGTTCTACTTCCTTTTGATTATAAACTTCATCTTCAATTTGTTTCTCTCTTCTCATGTTTTATTATAAGCAGTCAAGAGAAGCCATGCTACACCTGGACACTTTGCTTAGAGACTTTGTCCACCAAATATCCTGTTTCGTCCCTCTTAAGTTCTGCCTTCCATGAAGCATTAGGACACGGACACATTCAGCCAAGTTCTTTTCCACTTTGTAACAAGGATGGCCTTTCCTCCAGTTTCCCATACTTGTTCCTCATTTCCATCTGAGACCTCATCAGAATGGCCTTCACTTCCATATTTCTACCCACATTCTAAACACGACCCCTTAGATAATCTCTGAGAAGGCTGAGGCTCCCTCTTCAGCTCTCCTCTTCCAGGCCTTCACCAGAATCGCGTTAGCGATTCACAGCAATCTAGGCTTTTCCTAGCATGCACCTCCAAACTCTACCAGCCTCTACCGTTACCCAGTTCCACAGCTGCTTCCACATTTCCAGGTATTTGTTAGAGCAACAGCCCACTTCTCCGTACCAGTTTCTGTCTCAATCTGTTCCTGCTGCTATAACAAAATACCATAGACTGGGCAATTTATAAACAGTACAAATTTATTTCTCACAGTTCTGGAAGCTGGGAAGTTCAAGACCATGCACCAATAGGTCTGGTGTTTGGTGAGGCCCGTTCCTCATAGATGGTGCCATCTAGGTGTCCTCACATGGACGGAGGGATGGAAGGAGGCAAACACTGTGTCCTCACACGGCAAAAGGCAGGAAGGCAAAGAGGGGAGGCAGCTCTCTGAAGCCTCGTTTGTAAAGGCATTAATCCCATCCGTGCGGGTGGAGCCTTCACAGCCTCACCACCGCCCAAGGGCCCCACCCTTTAAGACCATCACCTTGGGGTACAGTTCCAACATGAATGTTGGAGGGACACAAACATTCGAACCATAGTAGAGGGTGGTGCTGCTGAAGGTAGGAGTCTATTTCTACTGTGGGAAATTCAGGATGCTTCAGAAACACCAGACGGGAGAGGAAGTCTGAAGACTTGTGCACGGAAACCTGGTGAACAACATCAAAACCATCAATCCTCTCGTCATCATTCTCATGGGAATTAAGAAAATCTGCTTCGGCCTAACTGGATACCAGCCACACCTTTATATTATAATATTGAAATGTGATGAAACAAAGGCCCATCCAGAGTATACGGGTAGATGCTTACAACTGGTTCTCCAGGCAAAAGAAAACCCAATTTCTAGTGTTTGCCAATTTCCATGCTGTAAATGCTTCCATCATGGTCAGTTTCAAACTATAAACCTACTGTCGCTGAACGTGGAGTTGGGGAGAGACGCACAGCACCGGCTGTGTGAGTGCTGCACACCACTGGGCCCGTCACAGGTCTTTAAAACCCAATTTCCAAGGATTTCTGGGGAACAGTGAAAGTGGCATTCCTAAAGGAGGGTTCCCAAAACTAATGTCATCAAATCATTTAATGCATAAAAATAAGAGGGCAAGAGGAAAAAAGGTCAAACATCTGAGAAGGAAATAACATTGACAAATAAACCTACTAGAAGCCAATCTGCATATCCAGAAAAAGTTTCCGAACAAATGTTAATCTTTCCCGATCTAACTTCTTAATCCATATCATTGACCTCTTCATGAATTTAAAAGAGGACTGTGTCCTTATTTCAGTTTGTAACTTTGTCTTCCGCCCACAAACACTTTAAAAAGGATGCCTTCACTTCAGCTGCCCATCAAGATCACAGTAGTTTAAAAGGCTGAAGAACGACAAAGCACTGGGGTACTTCTCCCCTCACTCGTCTCACCAAATAACGTCTGGCCATAGACACGTGGTGAGACTGGCACATCGGTACAGTGGTTTTTAGACGGAGTGAGAGTCAGAATCTCCTGCAGGGCGTGGTAAAACACAGCTTGCTGGGCCCCACCCCAGAGCTTCTGATTCAGCAGATCCCGAGAATCTGCATTCCCCAAAACTTCCCAGTGATGCTGATGCTGCCGGTCCTGGAACCGCACTCTGAGAACCACTTTGTAAGACTGTCTTTGGATCCCTGCCATCAAGTCATCTTTTTTGAGGAAACCACAAAGCCCTCCCTTAACAGCCATTTTAACGTGCAGACAGCAGGAATTTTACACAGTCCCCAGGGCCTGCCAATCACGCCGCACAGGCACATGTTTTGGGGTGCAGCCAGCCATGCATCGCTACTGTTAATAGCCAAATGTCACAGAGCAAACTGAAAGCCAAAGCACATGGGCTGCTCGGTCCTTACGATCCTAAACCTGCTACTCCTGGTATTTCGCATGTCACCACTACACATGTGGGCTGGATGAACTGCCCATGGCACATTGGAGGAAGTTTAGGGCCCTGAGAGGTGACACGACGCACCCACATTGGGCTCTGCTTTCCAGTGAGGGGCATGGAGGCTGGAGAGACCCACGCGCACCAGGGTCACTTGGGAGTAACTGGTGGAGCCCGACCGCAAACCAGCTGCCACCTGTTCCTCACTTCCCTTACTACATATGCCCTCAGGACGTCTGGACCCCATACTAACTGGCCCTGGACGCTGGGATTTTGCAGCTCCTTCTTCTGATTACTTCAGTTTCTCTGTGCGCTCCGCTGCCGTCACACTTGCAAGCAGCTATCTCCCACCACTGCTCAGATACAGGCATGCCCCTCCACGCTTCATGCCTGCTCCCAGCTGCTGCAGCTTCGAAGCGGAGTACCAGTGTCCTGGGGGCGTCTGACACCCACCCCACACACAGCAACCAGGCCAGGGACTGCCTCAAGGCTGCGGTTCTGGCAGGCACAAGGGTAAGCAAGCACTAGCTGTCTGGCGGGGGGTCCCCACACACCTAATTAAGAGATGCAGCCACCTGTCTTGCTCTGACCTGGAGAGCCCAGATGGGTACGGGCCTCAGAGCGACACCAATCCTGTGTTCTTCCAAGGCGTTCAGAAATCAGCTCTCTATGTGCAAACAGCTTCTCCCTTTACATCCCAGATGCTGTGTGTACCAGAGACTAGTCTAAAAAGTCCGTGCCTCCACAGTTAGAGAAACGCCTTCCAGGTACACACCAGTGAATCTTAGCAATAAATCAGCTCCTTCAAAGTCCCAGCAGAATGTGGCTTGAGGAATTCCTCTGCCCACAGCAATTTGGTAGCCTCATGGGTTAAACATTTCTCTTATGCATCATCCTTCAGCACTTCATGTGTAACCTTGGACCAGGAACCTAACCTCTCTGTGCCTCAGTTTCCTCATGTTTAAAACAGAGGCAATAACAGTACTTACCTCACATGCTCATTGTGAAGATTATGCGAGCTCGTGTGCATAAATCTCTTCGAAGGATTGCTGGCAGAGGGAACCATGGGGTCTGGCTCCAATAACAATGTTGCTCTGATTGTTACAGAGGCCACAAACTATGCAGCCTCATTTATGTCACTTAGAGTTTTCAGTTATATGCAAATTGATGAAAGACAACTCTCTTTCCACTGAATGGCTGGACACACGCAATGTGTCTTTCCTGCAGAAACGGAAAAGGACCCACCCCTACCTGGGGGTGGGAAAGAAGCATGAAAGGACTAAGGGGGTCCTTGTAGGAGCCACCAGGACAACTCCCCTTCAGAAGAAAGCCTCAGCTGAGCAACAGCCCCACGGCTGGATGGAGCAAGCGGATAAAACAATCGCTGTCCAAACAAAAGAAGCAGAGCTGCCAACCCCATACTTACTTCCAGGACCGTCCATTGTTCGACAACAATAGCATCATAGCCCTGTATGGTTTTGCTATCTTCTGTGGAAACAGCTTCAAAGATGAATACTCCATCTGTCAAGCCATGTAAGGAATCTGTGGAAAAAGAAAAAGACGGGAGGGGGGCTGTGTAAACCGTCTGTGGTAGAAGCTTTTTATAAGCAGCAAACATTTTCACTGCATTCATTAATAATCCCAATCAGAACATCTTTTCAGCATGTTAATTAAAGAAGGCACACACAGCCATAGAGTCTAGCCCCATCAGAATGAATGAGACTAATTTACCTCGCGGTTTTGAATAATATCCTTGATTTTATGAGCCCAAATTTCATTGTTAGCAATCACCATTTGATTTCACGCGTTTACCTTCCTTTTCACGCTCCAGCGTCAGGATGCACTGGGGAGAACTTATCCAGGGTAAAGCACAGCCATTTAGAGACAGCTTTGAGAAGGAAACTATATTTAGGTGAGAGTGATTTTTTTTTTAAGGGGGGATAGATGTAAAACACCATATCTGAGCCTGTCAGATGCACTCTACATACATTGATTCTTGGAAGGTCGCCTGATGTGGGCTGCTGTCCAGACATTTTAGGCAGCTCTTTTCTCTCAAAAGGTGGAACTGGGGGAGGGGGAATTTCCCCAAATGGGTGACCACTGGCGATGTTTCCTTGGCACTGCTCTAGTCCGAGCTCTGTACAATTCAACAAGTGTACGTGAAATGTATAGCGTGATCAAGAACTGTCTTAGGCGATGAGGATATAAAGAAAAATACAACAGGGTCCCTGCCCATGCGGAACACACTAAGGGAGGTACCTTTTGCCCTTTTGTGGTGCATGGCTTCTCAATGCCCTAGATTCATCTCGATAAGAAACTGCAGGAGAGAGGACGGGCTCAGAAGGTGAGTCCAGGCTCTACCACAAAAAGTGAAGTGACCTTTTCAGAGCCCTGGTCACTCATCTGTGAAACGGGGTTATGGACAGACAATCCCTCCTGGTCCCTAGATTCTATTCTATAAACACTGTCAATCATACTGTTATGGGTTGAATTACGTCCTCCCAAAATTCGTATGTTGAAGCCCTGAACCCCCCATGTGACTATATTTGGAGACAGAGCCTTTTGGGAGGTACTAAGGTAAATGAGGTCCTAGTCCTCTTTAACTAGGTTGGGGTGGGGCCCTAGTCCAGTAGACTGGTGTCCTTACAAGAAGAGGAAGAGAAGCCAGCGTGTTCTCGATATCTCTTCCTGTGTGTGCAAAAAGGAAAAGCCATGTGAGGACACAGTGAGAAGGCAGCTATCTGCAAGCCAGAAGAGCGCACTCACGAGAAACCAAACTGCTGGCACCCTGATCATGGACTTCTAGCTTCCAGAAGTACAGGAAAATAAACGTCCACTGCTCATACCTACTCTGTGGTATGCCGTTAGGGCAGTCCCAGCAAACTAACACCCATACAAAGCCCATTTCAATCATATGTTCTTTAAAAAGGGCAATTTTTAATAGGACAAATACATAATAATGTGACCTTTTTTCCCAAAGGGAGGGAAAGGGGACACATTCAGAAAGTCCTCTGAATCATGTTGGAGTTCCTGGAACTGCCAGTAATTTCCAGAAGTCACACACAAAAAAAGAAACAAAATTAAAAGGTCACCAACAGGAGAAAATTATTTGCAGCAACAAAAATAAAAGGCTAAGCTTAACATTCTTTTTTTTTTTAATTTCAGCATATTATGGGGGTACAGATGTTTAGGTTACGTATGTTGCCCTTGCCCCCCGCCCAAGTCCGAGTTTCAAATATGTCCATCCTTCGGGTGGTGCGCATTGCACTCTTTGTGTATGCATATACCCGTCCCCTCCTCCCTCCTCCCCCCTGCCCAACATCCAATAGATGTTATTCTCATATGTGCACTTATGTGGTAAGGCTAAGCTTAACATTCTTTATATATAAAAAGCTTTTTCAGCTCAATAGTTGAAAATACTAAAACACTAATAGAAACAGAGGACATGAACTAGCAATTAATTCTTTCGCTTTTTCTCTCTCCATGGCCAGTAAATATTGAAAAAAAATTTCAACCTCTCTTTTGTTTAGCAAGCTGGCAAATTTTGAAAAGCAAATTCTGACTGCTGGTAAAGGTACGGTTATACGGCAAAGTTCACAGTGCTTAAGGGAATTTTCATTGCAGTCTTTCTAAAGAGCAATTTAACAATGTCTCATGAGTTTGCCATAAAAAGTTCATCCTCTTTGACCCAGAAATGCTACCTCTTTTGGTCTATCCTGAGGTAATAACAACCAATGCCATCAAATATTCATCTACAAGGATTACTTACAAAATTACTTAAAAACTTAAACAATCTAAATGTTCAACGATCCAAATACTCAAACATAGAAAAATAGTTAAATAAATTCATGGGTTTCTGTACTATTAAATACTATACTGTCCCCCCAAAAATACCACTGGGGATTTAATGATTCAGAAAAATGCTTTAGATACAATAGTATGGGGGAAAACCAGGATACAAAACTGCTATATGAATTAAAAAATTCATTAAATTTTTTTAAATTAAAACATGTTAAAAAGGTTTAGACAAACTTTAAGGAAATACACAAAATGCTAGAAGCAGCTGTAAGTGGTGGAATTAAGTATAATTTGACTTTCCTTTTTTATCCTTTTCAAGAGTTAATACAGGCATAACATAAGTAAAGAGACAACACAGACAAAAAAGAATTTTTTGGAGAGGAAAAAACAATTTTCCTTTTCTCTCTTCTACATGACTCTTGAAGGCAGAAGTAGAATCAATGAATTTTAGAAATTATGGGGAGACAATTTGAGTACAATCTAAATAGGAAGAACCTTCCTTAGCGCAGTCTAAAAAGGGAAGGTGGGGCGTCAGAAGGGTGAGCGACGTGCTACTGGAGACACTCAAGCTCACACTGAACACCTCTCAGACACTCGCTCACTCGCTCCAGCACCGACTGAGCGCCTGTCACATGCCAAGTACTCTCGCAGCCACTGGAGGTCTCGCAAGCAGCAAGACAAAGTCGCTGCCGCCATGGAGCTCACTGGACAGTAGGAGAGGAAATAATAACCCAATGTCAGAGGTGATAAACACTGTAAAATATAAAGGGGCCAAGGAAGAGAGAGAAGGTGGAGGCAGTGGCTATTTTTGAAAGGGGCTTTCAGAATAGGGCTCCCCACCTTGAGTAGAGACATGAATGAACTAAGCAAGCAAGGGACATCGATGTGCAGGTCTGAGAACTCCGGGCAGAGGGCACAGGTGCTTAGACATGCAGAGTGAGTGAGAGGCAGCCAAGGACCAGATGAGCAGCAGAGTCGTGACCGAAGGAAGTCAAGACTGACCCAACTGGTGTGGAGACCAGCCGCTTAGGGGCTGACTAATGCATGTGACTTGCTTGGCCAATGGGATATTAGCAGGCGTGGTGCAAGCTGAGGCTGGACCAGCACCTGTGTGGTGGAGCTTGACGTCATGTGTCTCCACCACCACTGTGAGAGGACATGCTCCAGATGGCCAGTTGGTTCCAGGAAGATGGAAGACACTTGGGTGTCCCAGTGGAGCCCAGCTGAGACTCACTGACCATCAGATCTGTGAGGGAGCCCAGCTGAGACCAGCAGGGCTGCCTCAACAGAGCTGTTCCAGCCAACCCTAAAATCTGTCAGAATAAATCATTACTGTTTTAAGCCAATGAGTTCTGGAGTGGTTTGTTATACAGCATTACTGTGACAATAGCTAACTGATACAATGCCCAACCCAGACCTAAAAACATGAGAGCGGTGTACCTTGCTTAGCCTGGGGATATTCCTGATTATTCCGGAACAACTGAGATGCCGGAATAGTTCAACAAACCACAACTGTGAGGGTAGTAAGCACAGCAGCCTTGTCCTGATATTATCCAGTGACAATAATACTCCATTTCAAGTGAGATCCTGTGGTAAACCGGTAACATGCTCCAGTTCTTATCTGCTTCCTACCCTGAGAGTCTGTAAGCAAACGGCCTCCCACAGGTGCTAAGCCTGCCTCTCTCATCTGCTCTGCTGAGAAGTTTTCCCCAAGTGCTAGTTCAATGGCCTCCTAAGAGACATGTTACACAGGTGACCAGGCAAAAACCACTGCTCTTCAGCTGAACCACATCTCAAGTATTTTGGGGTTTAGGGCAAGCATGGACCAGAGCCCAGCTCACTTTTGAAGTTCTGGCCAACAGTCCAGAGGTCCAGCTAGAGCCCCAGTTACCATAGAGGCTTTCCCAAGTCCTGACCTGGAAATGCTCAAGAAGAGAAGACACTCAATGATTCCTGCAGGATTGTGTCAACACAGCACATATTTCCTCAAGGCTTCTCCAAAAATATGTTATATCCAATTTCCAATGCCTCTACCTACAGATCTCCTCAATGGAAAACCTCCAAACCCCTTCAATGTGCCTACCATGTGCTGTAAGTACTGAAGTGCCTAACTTGACAAGCATACTATGATGGTATTGGCCTGCCAACAGCACCATACAGCAGAGCTGGGGTCCAGAAGGGGAAGGAGACCCTTGCAGCCCACCCAGACCTTCTCTCCACCTCTCTCCTGGCTCCCCTCCTTCCTCCTGAGTCATAGGCCGGGGAGGAGCGCTTGGCTGACTTGGGGGGCACGAAGTAGGAACACACCCAAGCTTATTCACCACCTACCTCACCCACTGCCTGGCCCTCCCACCTCTCAGGCCGCTGCTCTGCTATTCTGGATCCAGAGTGCTGATTCACCTACTTATCCACAAAGCAAGTTCAGAATGGCTGTCAAAATTTGGTCATCTGTAACAGCAAAAAGTCAATGAACCACAGAGAGCAGACAGCTGGGTTTTTAGAGAGCCCCTTGTTTTGATGGTCTCGTCCACTCTGTCTCCTCATTACCTTCACGGCTCAGCATCACTATAATGTGCACTGAGTTGGGTATAAATAGGTCTATCTTAGAGCGGAGGCTCCCCATGTAAAAAGGTTAAACTGCCCTCCATCTATGGAAAACATCCCATTATCACTGCATTTTTTATTAAAGTAAAGATGCTTCCCTACTGTGCACAAAAAGCTATTTGCCTGGGTATTGTATAAAT